GAAGAAAGTGTATGCAAGGTAGCAGTTGTCATGTTGTTGTTTTATTTATAAAAGCGTGCCTGCAGTAAAACTAAATATACAACCACTAAAAGTGTCATGCAGTATCAGATGTTATTAAATCCACGGTTTGCAAACAAAACTCCTCGTTCTCTCAATATTTACTTCAATGTATTCATCGGCCACATGAATCCACATTTTGCAACTTCCAGATGAGGCCAGTGGAAGGGTTGCAGATGCCACGGTTGTGGCCGCAGCCTAAAAATGGTTCACATCGCATGCTGTGTTAGCATAACCACGGTCACATGTTTGAGGGGAAGACTCGGGGAACTGAAGGGAAAAGGGGAAAGAGAAAAAGAGCGCTACTGAAATCTGGCTTTTTACAATACTGTCCTCGACAATAACAACACATGACAAACACGACAGAAATGTGCGGCCAAAATCGATGCCTTTCACTTTGACCACTCTCCTCCCAGCTGGGCATTGCTTTGGTTAAGCGACAGGCTCATCCCAGACATCTGTGCCTCCAGGCATCTTTTTCTCCTTTTGTCTGCTGCAACAGTAGATGGGGCTGCAGGTCTGTAACACCGCAGCAGAATAAAGTACGGCTTTTTAACACTTTTTTTTTTCTTCAGCTTTTTCTTATTTTCTAACAGTCCCTGTAGACTCAATATTTATGGATTGGTAAAACCAACATGGAACAGGGAGTTGACTAACATATCAAGTGTCAAGGTCTTGTCAGAAGGTCCTAAATTTGCATCATTACAGCTCATCCTCTGGGGAGATGGTGGGGCTAATTCAAACCATCCATGCACAGCTGGAGGAGAGAAGTGGGCTCTCTTCTGGGGAGAAATAAAACGGACAGAAACATGTTTTATGTCTCTTCAGTCGTTTATGACTTTCAGAGTCATGCCTTGCCCCTGTGGCATTCCCCTAATCATCTTTAGGTTACACAATGTCCAATTGTCCTTTCAAGACTGACATCTCAAGACAAATCAAAAGGCATCATTGTGTCTAAATGAAATCCAGGATTTATCAGACCCTTGCACCTCCCACCGTGACTTTACCGTTTGGTGTGTTTGTTATGAGCAGATCTGCCAATCAGCAATGCACAAAGGGTCTATTGTCCGTGGCCTGCCGTGGCACGGTTCCAGGGAGGGCGTAAAACTCCTGTCTGCTCTGATAGCGATCTGTAGCTAAAGCCCTTCTCCCAATCCCTACACGCAGCAACAACCGAGTGCTGACTAAGCCTGGGCTGCGCTAAGATGCTGATCTAAGGTCAGTTTTGTGCTCCACAAATGGTTTTTTAAATGGAGGATTAGGCGGAGGTAAGCTGGTCGAAGGTCTGCGCCTAGGGCCAGGTGCAGAGTTAGGGATCAGGCTTTGTGCTGTGGTAGAGCTTTTTTTTTTTTTTTCCTTCAAGTGGGCCTTAATCCTTTCAAGAAAGAAAATGTTGATGTTTACATCCTAGCTGTGACCCCGTCTTGGCCTCTCCGCTCGAGCATTCCTACCATAGCTGTGACATCTAGCTAAGCTTTAGGACACCAGGGGGATAGAGAAAACAACGCTTAATCACAGCCACAGGGCACCTCCATGATAACAAAGCAACCCCTTAACCCCTCTGTGTTTGTGTGTGTTCCTTAATGCATGTATGGGTATAAGGAGTGTGTGTGTGTGTGTGTTGTTGATGCTGTGCTCAGATTTCTCGGTTAAAAAAAAAAGGTGCCCTTCCTCTTGGCGCAAGGATTCAGAGGACACAGCACATTAATTCTGAATGAGTCACCTACTTAATGTTCTCAGCGTTGGGCTTGGGCAGGAATCCTGTTCGGATAATCACACAGATCAGACATATTTACTGTACACCTTGAGGGGGGGATTCCCAACACTTGTTTGCTTAAAATCCCCTGAATGGAATTGTCAAAACCTAAAATGCCCTTTGGTTCATGCAGCGGCCAAAACACAGAGCCGAGATCACTGACACTGAACAGGCGTGCAGCAACAACAGTCTTACTACATGGTGCAGTACTACACAGTAGGGCTGGGCGATACGACCTCAAATCAATATCACGAAATATTGAGCAGTTCACCTCGATAACGATAAATGGACGATAAATACCCTACAAGCTGCTCAGCCCCTCCCACATTAACTTTGTCTACGCTACAACTTTTGAACCGTCCTCCGTACCCTCACGTCTTTCCCTCTTTGTTATGGACTCAATGGAGTGTAGTCATGTCTCCGATTTAGGACAGCGTCTTAAAAGGGACATGAGACCATAGCCTAACTACACACATCCAAAGGCCATTTTATTTATTTATTTTTGACACCGAATGTATCAATATGGGCAAAATGACGTTGGTTATTGTTGTAAATTTTGGTATCGGTAAGTTGTTCATTAATCGCCCAGCTCTTGTTTGCACCATAGCATTTGAGTAGTGACGGGTGTCAGGGAGCCACTAAAAAGTAATGACCAAGCTTGCCAACAACAAGAGTGATAAGGAGTTCCGGACCAAACATGACTAAAAGACGTTGAATTTGAGAGTAAGTGGTTTTCACCAAAGTTTCTATTTAATTTTGTTACAAAACACAGAAATCTAATGGGTCAGGCCAGTGATGACAGCATCTTAAAGGGACATGAGACCATAGCCTACCTACACACATCCAAAAACAACTTTTATTTATTTATTTTTTTGACACCGAATTTACCGATGTGGGCAAAATGACATCTGTTATTGTAAATTTCGGTAAATATTCAGTTTATTGCCCAGCCCTACTACACAGCATTAGAAGGGTTTAATACAGGTCACTTATACTCAAGTGTTAGATTAATATCAGAGTGCTTCAGTTCAGCAGTGATGGATCATCAATTTCCATGAATTTTTCATTTGCAAAAAGACAGATTTGCAAGCGATTCGATAAGTTCCTGTTCTGCTTTCTTCCACATCAATAAATTTGCTGAACACAAATTCCTTTGAGTGTCACAGAAAAAGAAACAGCTTGCATAATAAGGTCATTTTATGTGTTGTAAAGGAGAGTAGTCAATTCAGTTTTGTTGGCGGATGGCCGTGGATGCAAGGCAGAGCTCTCTGGCCGCTGACTGCTGAGCTTGAGGAGATAGGTCAACACAGGTCAACCGAGTCCAGCTAAACAAACACGCGCTATCAAAGAGGAAATTTCCTGTCCAATCTGCAAGTTTTCTCTTCACAGTTAGCGTACATTCACCAGATCATCCCAGGGGATGAGACAACGGGTGTGTGCGAGTGATTGTTGCTGCGAAAGAACTTTTTGAATTGGTGTCTTTGAAACATTTGTTGTGTTGTGCAAAGAGAGTTTACAAATGTGACTTTCAGGGTATCTTCTATACCCTTCTCCCTTTGTTGTCTGCAGATCATTCGGCCTTGTTCTGGTGGATTTTATGTTTGATTTTCTTTATATAATGTGAAAGCTCTTTACAAATATAAAAGTTTCTTCTTTTTTTTTCTTCACACTGTCTCTGACCTAACAAAAGGACTGCATGCATCTGCGTGAAGCAGCAATTAACCACCAGTGAGGTTTTGGCTCTAAACTCTTGCAACGTTTCAAATTGCTTCCCAGCCATAATTCCTCCATCCTCTTTGACTCAATTACCTGTCACCTTCGCAAACAAAGGACACACTATGGAGAGCTATTTCTTATGCAGACATACACGTACATATATGCATCATGCACTCGCACATACACAGTTCTTTAGGGTTGCTAGGCGCTGCTGTAAATTATGGCGGGGTAGGGTTGCAGGCTTAGTGCAGCATCAGTGTCTTCCTACCAGGTGATGAGCGTTTGCTGACAGGGTTTTAGTCCGTCTAACATTCAGCACAAAAACACAGAGAGACAAGACTTGAGCACTTACTGAATATTTAGAATATAAACAAGAAAGAGACATTTTATTCTAAGTGAGTTAGTGGTTGGTGTTTTTCCACCGAGGACAGCACAAAATTCGCTGGACCGTTTCAGATTTTAAGAGGAATTTGATATAAATTTCAGGGGATAAAAGCTGCCAAAAAAGGGGGGATTGCGATTGCCAACAACATCAAATATTTTCTCAAGATGTGAAAACTTTGTGCCTAGTGTGCAGTTTTTTTTCTGTATCATCTAAACTTTTTTTTTTAACCTAGAAAGCCCTTTCAAGCAAAAACACGCTTTTCTGCAGCAAATTTAAACACATTTTTTTAGATTAAACCCTTATTATTGCCAACAACATCAAATATTTTCTGAGGATGTGAAAACTTTGTGCCTAGTGTGCAGTTTTTTTTCTTTCTATATCATCTCAACTATTTTTTTTTAACCTAGAAAGCCTTTTCACACAAAAACACGCTTTTCTGCAGCAAATTTAAACACATTTTTTAGATTAAAACGCTTATTTGCAAAGAGCATGATTACTTTTCTTCATCAGAGAGTTGACATTATTTCCAGAGTGCATGCTTGTATGTGATGTATGTGTGTCTCTACGTCTCTGCGGTTGTGTACACAGTGACTGAAAAGTACAAGAGCGTGTGTGTATTTCAGTGTGTTCACGCTGTGTTCATGTGTGCGCGGATGGTACATGTGTGTATCGCTGACTGGACCTCCCCCGCCATACTGCAGAGATTTTTCATCACATGAAAGCCAACAGGGGGTGGTATGCATGCAGGGCGAGTCGCTTCCATCTGCCCTGTCCACTTAAATTAGTGGGGCCTCGCATCCAGCAGCATCTGGTTCCAATATGGAGCCAGGCGGAAGGGTGGGTGCCTCACTGTGCGGCGGAAAATACAGCCTACTGTACCTTTAAATAGCCCTCAGGAGGCTAAGGACGGATGCTGGCCCTATCGCCCTATCCCAAGATTCTTTGTATCTGGCCTAACACTTCTTCCCTTTGAAAGAGGACAAATGTACAATTAGGCTGGAATGCCTGCAATGCTGTTTTCCAAGCGTGTGTTCGCAGAGCTGGCCTGAGCAAATGGTGGATCCTCTGGTGAGAGGTTATGCGCCGTCAACCTTTCTCACTGTTCAGCGGTGAGGTGCACCGTCTGACCCTGCCCAGGCTGGGTTTCTCCGGTTCTGCCGGTCCATGTTCGGGGTTAGCCTCTTGTTGTTCTGGTTCTGCAGCAGCTTTGCCGAGCCAGGTCTCTGTCAGCACTCCTCTGTGGCACAAGTCTTTTAAAGATCCCTCCTCCTCCTCCTCCTGCTCTTCTTCTTCTTCTTTCCCTGGACAAGAGGCACTTCAGAGCTTACCCATAATTCAAAGGTTTCCATCTCAACCATAATTCACACTGCGCTCTACCCTAACTAAAGGGGCTGTCTGTAACTACGGTGATTGCATGTTTGTCAAACGAATTGTCAGAGCAGCAGGCCCAGGAGGACGAGGAGAGAGGGAACAGAAACATGAAGGTGACTCGCTTACACATCAGACTATGCACAACTGACTCACTGTAAAGATCATGTAGGGTCTTTACAAGATCTACACATGCCTTAGAGAGTGTGAGAGTGTGGTATGTTAGAGGAACCAGCAAGATACTGATACAAGATACAATTTCAAACACTAAGAAAAAGGGTGGAAATGTAGGTGTGGGAAATGTGATATAAAAAGTGACCACAGAAAAAAGTTGGGTGACACTTTATTTGACGCTTATGTCTATAGCGCATTATAAATATATGTATAGTGTGTTATAATCATGTTATAGCACTATATAACTATAGTTATAAACACTCATAAATGATCATAATGCTTTATAGCAATAATAATAACACATTATAAAGCATTTATCATGACTTACAAGGTCAGGTATTATAATGTGTTAAAACTTGACAAATCACTGCCAATGCTCACATAGATAATGCATTATACATATATTTATGACGTGTTATAATTTGTTTATAAACTTGAATAACTATCATTACAAACACTCATTAATTATCATAAGGCTTTATAACAGTAAGCATAACACATTATATTACCTGACCTTGTAAGTCATGATACAATACTTTATAATGTGTTATGATTAATGATTAATACTATGGTTATACAGTGCTATAACGTGATTAAAGGTGATATAGATGATCGGCGTCAAGTAAAGTGTTACCAAAAGTTGCTGTTGTAAAAAGTTCCAAAGACTTTTAAAGGTTTACTACATCATTTCACAAAGAGATGGATGAAGTCTGACACATTTATCTCTCCTGTGCTGCGTTCTTGCTGACATTATATTAATAGCACGAATTCCTGTTTCTATAAGGAGCTATTTTGAAATGACGACGACGGTTAAAATGACCCGCTCGTGGCAATAAACGGCTTTATATCATATTAAAGCGAGTCGTGTCTGGCATTGGCACCAGGAGATATTGATATAAATGTTTAAGAGGCCCTCCCCTGGTTTTCTGAGCACAGGGATTCTGTGTTTGCATAAGCCATGAGGGAGGAGAACATGGAGCGAGAAACACAGTGCAATCAGATAAGCCTGATGACAAGGCAGAGAGAATCGATGACAAACTTTTGACAGCTTTGGCCCGTGTCTTCAGACTGGGCCAGCCTGCTGAAATATAGATCGCAGTGTGCCTCCAATACACACACAGACACTGTCTTGTGTAACGTGTGAGTGATAAGGTGGGCAAACCGCAGGAAAGCAGCGCAGTACCCATGTCGGAGTAGAAGCGGCTATCAGAAAAATCTAGGTTTTAGTTCTTGAAAGCGCTATGATACGTGATCTAGCACCTCTGTGTGTTTTTATGTTCACACTCGCCGCTGCTGTTACAAAATCCTCGCCCTTTGACCTCGCGCGTTGGAGCGCACACATACGCAGATCAACAATCAAAGGGCATATCCAAACCAGCAGGAGATTAAACTCTGTCTTGTCACTTCTCAAATTGAGTCCTGGGAGATAGTCGCTAACAGGTTTCATCTATTCAAACAGTTCACCGGCCAAAGACAACCACGTCGCTAAAACAAGTGCTAACCACCAGGTAATTTTATTAAGTTGTGACTTCCTCTTTTCCCTTCCTTACATCAAGAGGTCAGAGGTCAAGAGGATCTGTCAGCGGTGACAGAGAGGATTATGGGTGTAGGCATTCCATTGGCAGTCATTACAGCCCTCAGTCAGCACCCGGTACTCTCTCTCCCCCTTTTTTCCTCATCCTCTGTCTTTCTGTCTCTTCTCTCTCTTGTCCTCTGACAGACTAAGAAGCAATTAGTGTCACATTAGTGATATCCAGGGTATAATTCTGATGCATGCCAAACCTGCTGCTGTTCATTCATCCTTTCTTTTTAATGAATAAATGGACTCTTTGTTTGATTTTTCGACTTAATCTAAAACTTCTGTTTTGTCCATTTCTCAACAATCACTGTTTCTTCTTTACACTTTGACTCGTTTCCAACTTTGCCTGCTGCTATTCCTAGAGCCATTACTCTACGCAGCAACAGTGCCTTCTGCATTACAATCACCTATCCAAATAAAATACTAAAAAACCAAAGAAAAATGAGTGTGAGCGGGGTTGTGAGGTTTGGACCCCTGCGCTAGAACCCCAGCCCAGTAGGATTCCTCACATTCCAGCCCATGCTGGAGTTGGAGCTGGTAATAGATCTGAGCAGGCCTGCTGGGCTCAGCGCATTGTGGCCCGTCCTCTACTCCGGAGTTTTTGGGCTCTGGAAGAAGACGGCGTTGTTCCCTGTGTAGGACACCTTCCTGAGAACAGCCTCAGGTTCTGACTTTCCCTCCCTTTGCCATTCTAAGAAAGCACACACACACACACACGAATCCATTTCTTTCCTCTCCTTTCTGCCATCCCTCCTGTTTCTCCTCATGCAACTGTAACAGGATAGTGGGAGTTTACTTCGCTGCAGAGCAAGGGGCTGGGTCTTTTTGACAGTAATGCAAGGGACACTTGTTTACCTAACCTTATGGGTCACGGCGCAGTTTAGCAGGGAATGAATGACTTCATTTTTAGGGTTTAAATTAAAGGGTTCCTCCTCCCTTGAACTTAAAACAGATTTGTGCATGCTGTGGAATGAACAAAGTACTCGCTCAGTCAGCGCACAGACCTTTCTGCTTTGGCTGTAACTATAAAACAAAAAGAGGTGAAGAATTACAGTGATGGCAAGAATGTACAACTCATGAGTTTGCGCACGCTTGCGTACAATTACAGCATTCCTTACGACCGTTTCTCCTATCTTACACCTCGCTTTATACATTTAAAAAAAAACTTTCATTCGCCCTGACATGGTGTCAGTTTCTTCAACAGTTATTGGTCCACACCATATTCGAGGAAAATTGCTACCTTATGGGCCTTTTAAAAAAAACCACTGGGTTTTGAATGGGACCTTTTAAAAAGGGGGTAGTGTTTCATTTAGGGTTGGTGGTCATTTTGGCAATGTGATTTCACCACCGGGGAGCCTTGGAACCATTTACACTCACACATGGCATCAAGGCCTGCTGTGGTGGTGATCAAGTGCTTCAGAGATGCCTGGACACCATGAGGACACAAATTAGAGCCCATCTCTGCCGTGCTTTTTCCCCCCACACCGAAATGCTCAAGCTATAGAAGCGTGCTCTCCCTCACCCTCTCGCTCCAGTCTTTCATGCCGCTTGCTCGTCAAAGGGGGGAATTGATTAAAGGCCCTTTTAAATGACTTCCTTTTCAGAGCTATTATTTCCCAATAACCAAAGGAGAGCAGATTGAGATCAGTAGTCTAATCTGTTGTTTCCCTCTCCTTCTTATTGGTGTTTTTGTTCGAGCCCTGCGAAAGAGCTCACCCCATTTTTCCTGTCAGTCATCAGGTTGTAATACTGGGGGCTCATAGATGTAACTTTAGACTGCTCAAGCCCTCACGCACAGGCCTTTTTTCGCAGAGGACAGAGTGAAACAAGTCACTCTCCAAACTCTCTGACAAATAACCCCACGCCACAAAGAACCTGTAACTCTGCCGCCCAGGAAAAAATGCTTTGAAGCTGCAATAGAAAGGAGGACTTGACTTCTTCGCTGCGGCCAGTGCAGCTCGAGCTGAAAGGAAGAAGAAGCGGTGATCTTCACAACAATAGAAACCCTTAAGTTCTTTATCCGACAAACATAAACAGAGCTATAAACTCACAAGTTATTGTTATGGATTCGTTCCCAGAAGGCAAACACTTTACTGTTACCGGTTGTATAAAAAGGCAAAGAAAGAATATGTTTGGAATGGCAATATGTCATGCTACCCTGGTGCCAAATTGAGTTGAAAGCCAAGCTTAGCAATCGAAACGCGCAGCAGATGGTAAGACGAAATGAAAAGATAAGGGAGGATGAGGACTGTCCGCTCTGTGTAAGCAGAAACACCTACAACAGTGTCTGTCTTACTCTGGGCTCTAATCAGAACATGACATCTCCTTTTAACTTCAAACATTCCTGTAAACACCTGCTTGTATCTCACCTCTGCATCTGTGTGGGTAAATACCGCCCGTTCATGTTCGCCTGTGTACAGACAAGACCTCTGGACAGTTATTTCTTCTGTAGCCATGCATCACATCCCCTCTCAAGATGAAGAGCTCGCGGAGATGAAAAGCAGGCTCTTTGGTATAGGGGGGGAACCCCGTTGTAAAGAAGAGACCTTCAGGTGAGAAACGTGCGGTTTTGACAAACAAAAGTCAGATTCACCCAGGTGGTCCCAGACGGCCTATCCAAACAGACGTCTCAGATTGAGCGGCGTCAAGATTGTGTGAAAGAACAATGCTGCGGTATGCTCATATCTCCCACTTTAATGATTAATCTGATCAAGCCAACTTTTCATCCGTCGACACCGATGTGCTCGGAGCTTTTTCGACTTGTCATCAGGGACAAGTAATAACAAGAAGTGTTTTGTCTCACAGCAGGCGTACAATCACCTCCGCGAGCTACGACGCCTGTTTTTCTCAGACAGATCTGATACGGCGTGACATTAATGGCTAATCTACTTCGAGATCATCCGAATGAAAAGCTGTTTTACTTGGCAGAGCTGCACGTTAAGCCGATGCATATCAAAGAGATCCATCGAAAAGTGAGGCTTATGTTTTAAAGGGGATTCCTCCTTCCACCGCTTTGACATAATTGTTACTTCAAGGAGCTGTGAGTCAAAACAGACAATTTCAAGCATTTTGTGCACAGATCCAAGAACTGCCTCTAATACTCCTTCATTATGGCTTGGACTGGTGGCTTAGCACTTACTTTTCACTCATTCTTGTGCAGCCTCTGTGCCTGCGCTTGCTCACCTTAACCCGTCTCATGCAACTCAGTAACCGATGGGAAACCTTTGTGCCGCGAGCTGCGACTTTTATGTCCAAAAAAGCTGCTTTAGCATCGATTACGAGCCTCAAAACAGCAGCAGGTTTTTCACCAGGAAGCACAGATGACTTTTCTAACTGGGAAACAAAGCTGGCTTTTGTGCCGTGGTTCTGGGAGGCCGCTCAGTCTTGTCATGTACATGTGAAATTAATTAGGAGGAAATACTAAAACACTTGGGTGGAAATTGCTTTTCAACAGATGTTCTACATATGAGGATCAATTTAGTATTCTTAGCAGAGCGAAATGACTATATAACTCTTGGGCTTGTGTCTTTGATGAAAGCCAATCTGTCACTCATGGCACATGAAAAGACGTCAGGGTTGTAGGCTACTGTTTGTTCCACTTTATGGAGTCCTAGGTAATGTGATTACTTAACCAGGTTAGGAAAACAGAATGTTTCATTCCGGGGTAAAATTTGACATACTGACAAGAGGCCCAGTGTTCCTCAGTGATCCATGAACAAACTAAACGAGTGCTCTTTTTCTGTCTCTTGCCCCCGTATGGAGAGAAGCCAAATAATCAGAGATAAATCACCGCGGGACGCGAGATAGCCATCATAACAGAGGTGTTTGGGTAGGTCTCCAGCTGACATCTCATATGTCATGCATGTGTTTTCGGTGTGTTTTGGAAAACAACCAGCCTCCACGCACACGTCTGTTTGAGCTGCCGCGGAAAAAGAAAAACTCCTTGATATGGATATAAAAAGCACAGCGTGCAACGACAAGGCAGGAGCCAAGATGAAGCGGGAGATCAGAAAGGCTCATTTCTTGCCTTCCGTTTACATTGCCTGCTCTGCTGCACAATGTCAAAGACGTGTGAGGGACGAGGAAACCGCTCTGATAAAGTTCTCTACGCTGTCGGCTCCACATCAAGGAGCAACAGTGGAGAAAAATACGTCTCAGTATGATTGAATAAGACATCTACTCTTACTGTAGGAGGAAAAACACATATTTACAAAGGGAAGTGCACATTTGATTGACCAGACGATTAAACGTCATCACTCTTACAAGTCAGCGCCAGGATTACACATTATTCTTATTTGTATAACTGTTGGCTCACAACGCCAGTGACATGTTGTGTCTACGATGTAATGCAACCACCAATCAGGGGGCTGTAGTTCAGGTACTGTTTCAGTGCTGTACCGCCAACTCGGTTTGGCAGTGATTTGATCTAGAAAATGGGTTTTTGGTTTTATGCAGGCAGTCAAACTTGCATATGACCACTCATACAATCACAGGAGCCAAGGTAACAAGCACTGGTACGTGGACTTTAACCGGCAAAGAAGGCTTGTGTTTCTGGTTCTATTTGCGTTTGGCACACATAGCAACTTAATGGATCACGCAGATACCCTGATCGATGTTTGGCTGTGTTGAATTAAGAATTTAAATGGAAATTGTTATTTGGAAACTAACTTCAAATACTTGCAATCATGATGGAGGTTATCTGGTGTCAAGGCTTGACTTGACTTTTTCAGTAAACGTCTTTAAGGTGACCATATTCCGAATCCCCAAAGAGAGGACACTACTGCGCAGGGTGGAGTTGCGTAGTAAAATTTGAGGGGTTTTCGGGTCACTTCTAACTCAGTTAGTCCACGCTACAGAAACTCAAAACTTCAACACAAAACCCCGGACATTTGAAGGATTTTATAAACTCCCCCGGACAAGGCTGGACAGCCCCCCAAAAAGAGGACATGTCCAGGTAAAAGAGGAGGTATCGTCATCCTAGCCATGTTCCAGCTAGTCCTTGCATGTCATAGTCTTGTTTTCATTGACGAAAATATTTCGTCAACGCCCCTTTTTTTCCACGAAGAAGATGTGACGTTGACAAACTAAACATAAGTCTTAGATGACTAAAATGTGATGAGACGAATGTGTGTTTACATTGACGATACGAAAACATTAGTGGTGGACGATGAACAGAGTTGCAAAATTCACGAGCATTTTGTCAGATCTTCAGAAAAAACAAAAATTTTAGAGTGCCTTGTCATCTCTGGTGCATACATCAAGACTGAACAACACACAGTTGCATTACTAAGGCTGTCCCGATACAATATTGATATCGGATATCGGTCCAATATCAGCCAAAATACAAATATCAGATTATATTGGCCGGCATCTAAAATCTCCGATATCAGCACTACGATACAAGCGGTCTATTCCAGACTCCACTCCGGCACTTCTAGCTAGCAGCACCCAGATCCAGCATGCAGAGCCCACCTGATCACAGCTATGTGTGTTAAGGTAAGAACAAAGTAGCAAGGAGTAGGAGTGATGTTGGCTGTGTGGCAGTATTTTTCGTTAAAGTCCGGACAAGAAATTGCAGCTGATTGCAAAACTTGTCATGCACAAGTATGTGCCAATATCGGATCAATATCTGTATCGTATTGGAAGTAAAAAAGTTGTATTGGGACACCCCTATGCATTACGAAAAACACGTAAACATGTATGAAGACTTTTGGCAAAGAAAAGGACACACGACCCAGGAGAAAAGGCTTCAAGAAATCAAACCAATATGGCTGAAGACCTCAGTGCTGATTTAAAGTGGGAGGACATTTTGCATTTCAGCGTGACAGTGTAATTTTTTATAAAATTCTTTTGGGGTCATGTTTACAATCTTCTTTGCACACAAACAGCCTATCACATGCCCTTCAGAAGCTACTTTTAACTGTCTAACAGTGGGTTCATCTCAGGACCTGTATTTTATTTATTTTTTCACTTCAGTAAACAAACTGAACAGGCACTTGGACGTTTCTTTACACTGGTATTTATACCCCTATCTAAATAAAAAAATGGACCAATTTTGATCTGCAATCCCTGAATCTTTTTCTTTTTCAATCACAACTTCTTTGACTCATTTTATGAGACCGGGCCAGCAACTTTCAGGATATAATACAGCAGCCACTGAATGAGATCTGGCGAGGCTGTCTGACTCAAAGTGACTGCAGAGTAAAATACAGCAGCTCTCCTCAGAGCTTCTGTTGCTCTGTGTATATTCGAGAGAATCCAAGCCATCTGGAGTCTGTTTATTGTATTACAAATGACACATAATGGTAATCTGGCATGTGATGAGAGAACGTGAATTACAGACAGGGGGCATGAAACGGGTATTAACCTTCATTTGATTTCCTTTAAGGAGGACATTTAATTTGAGACCACACTTTATCTACCTGATTATTCATTACAGTAAGCTCACCCATAACCGTA